AATTCTTCCCATCCCCAGGGAGCACAGTTTCGTGAACACCAGGCACTCTGGAAGTTGTGGTTGTAGAGTGCTGCCAGGGGAGTGCTGCAAAGCAGAGAGAAGCTATTAAAACATACATGGATTTGCTCCTCAGTCAGGTTGTTTATCTTGTATATTTTAAATACTGAGATTATTGTTCCAGGACTAGCAGAATCCATTACATCTCTAAAAGTGCAGCTTCAAAGTCAGCTGAACTCTCCACTGATGGAAGGAGTGAGGAATGCAGAATGTATGAATCGTCCTTCAAGAGAAAATAATGCCTTGATAATGAAAATTTACAAGAAGCGACTACTTAGCAAATATTCAAGGTTGTAATGAATCGTGTTTGGATATACAGATAAAACATAAAGAAGGGGAAGGTTGAGGCAGGAACTTAAAGCCCTTTAACAGCTCAGTTTCAACGCTCAATTTATTTACATATCATATTAGGTGGGTTAGGGCCAAAGATAGAAATGCAGGTGTTCTTTCTCTGCTTTACTCCATGGACTGCAACTGTATTTCCTTTGCCCTTTCTGCTGTACTCTCCAGTCAAAAGTATGAGACCATGTATTCATCTAAATCACTAATTAGGCTTTAATACCTGATCTCAAAGCACTGTGGGAATTGCAGATGTTTTGATGTTCTGGAGTGGATGGAATGGTCAGAGCCCCCCTGTTGAGCATCCTTGTCCATTTTGGAATACTAACTTTGAACTTTTTGTCTCAGTTTTGGTGTGTGGGAGTGGATGTTACATCTTTCTAAATATGAAAAAACAGTACACATTTAAAAGAAATCTATATTATTCATTTCTCCTAAGGGAATAATAGAATCTTACTTTCAACTTTTAGACACAGATACACAGTTTCTAGTTTAAAAGGCAGGATTTTCAACATGTTGTGATTTTTTTTCCCTCCCACTGACTGCCCTGCTGCCACCTTTTCCGATCGTTAATTAGGTATTCTGTCCTCAACTGAGGGAAGGGTGGGTGATAGCAAATTCATTATGTGGGGTTGAATTATGATTCAGGGCTGTATTTCTTGGACTGCTATTTTGATGAGCATAAAAGTCCAGAAACATCTAACAGAGATTGTTTTCATCCTCTGGGGTAGATTTTCAGTGTGTAAAGAAGTTTCCTGTTGGTTGTTTTGTGGTGGAGCTGAAAGAAATGTGAGCTAGGATTGACTTCTGGCTGTCCATTATTTATGCTAGATGGGCAAGACTGACATGGAAAGACTACCTCTCTTTGCTTGACTTTAGCCTTTCTGAGCTCTAACAGAGACATGAGGCCTCCATGCTTTTAAAAATGACTTTTAAAAAACTAGGGGGGGTTGGTAGTAAAATTTTTTCTCTGCATCAACATCACTTCTGTTAACTTTCACAGAATTAGTTTTAAGTGGGCAGTAGTCTGAGGTGGCAAATGTAGCGAATTGCATTCACAGAGGTGGTTGTGGGACAATAATGTAACAAAAATGTAAGTGGATTAAGCCCTTAATGCCACTAGAGATAAGGAGGTTTGTGTGTCCAGTTGTATGTGAAGCTGAACTGTTGGTTAGGTGCATATGCAAAAAAAGGATTGGATTAAAAAAACAAAATGGGAGAAAGGTTTCATGTCTTCAGCAAGTTCTCTGATTAGTGCTACCTTACAGGAATCCATGTTAAACAACCTTAACAATTATGTAAAATAAAGGTAAACAGCATGTTAATTAAATTCACCAGGGTATTACATATAAGACTGAAAACATGAAAATAGTAGAGAAATGATACATGAGACTTGAAGATGTTAGCAGAATAGATAGAAAAGCAAGCTTGGCCTAACAAATATAAGTAAAAATAACCCAAATGAGGTAGGTGATACCCAAAAAACTGGGCTTAGAAAATAATTAATGTGTGGTTGAAAACAACAGCGATGTGCACTGATGGTACCAGAAAGCACTGAAGGCAGTGACTTGTCTCCTGGTAGTGTAGCGGATAAAACACATGATTGTTGACTTTGGGGCTTAGCTCAGCAGCAGAGTGAGGAGAAGCTGTACAGTATACAAGCACATCCGTTTAGATCTGTGATGTTTGTTTCTGACATGGTTTTTATGCAAGGAGTGAAGGTGACTATTTGAGTTGGAAATAAAACTTTTTCTGTATTTCTGTTATTTGTTTAACATTTAAATATGTTTTTTCTCACATGCTATATTATTCCTTTTATGCTCCCTTTTTAAGCTTCCTTAACAGTGTGTTTAGATGGTGCCTCCTGAAAATTCAGATATAATTTGCCATTACAGCATATTTCACATTAATGACTAAGTGCTTGTTTGGTGAATTTTTTTTAAAATTATTTGGTTTTTTTTTTCAAATCACTACTGAAAATTTTGAGGACTCTCTTTTTAAAGAGTGAGAGTTGACATGATGGATCATAAAAATTCATTTTGAACCCTTGTTCTCTGTAACAATAAAATGGCTGCATGGAATGTGTAACTTTACTAGTCCTTACATCTCCTTTGGAACTGTTTCCTTATTATGGTCTGTCATATAAATATGGTTTGGGCCATTTTAGTGTACACAGTACCATAAAACTCTAATTACTTATTTTGACAGCTGTTATGATAGTTATTAATATGCTCTTTAAAGCCAAGAGATCTCCTGCCTGTTTTGTCAGTCTGGGGTTTGGTGGTGGTTGTTAAAAATTGTATGATTGTTCATACAGCATAAAAATAATAAATTCCTCTGCTCAAGACCATTAGTCATTACTAGTTCTAGAGAAGTCTTTTGATGTCCAGTGTTTTTCATAATTGCCTATTCAAGAGTTTCTTGCATCAGCATCATGGAAAACACATGCAAATGATGAGGAGAGTTGTTTTGGGTTGATATGACAGGTCTTTTATCTGAGCTCTGCACTCAAAATCAGCAGAGTAACCGATGGGATTAGAAAGTGCAATGTGTGTTAAAACCAGACTAGATGAAGAAGTGTCTCTGCCTGAGGAGTAGGTGGTACTGGACTTGTATTTCCCAAGCATCATAATCCATTTCACAGTCAGACAAAATTCAGCTTCCTTTTTATTTGCAGGCTTTATGGTTTCCATTGTAAAGTCTTTGAACTACAATAGGCCTTACAGTATTGTGTAATGTTAATGTGTTTTCCCTGGGCAGACATGATAGTGGTACTTTAAACATGGTGCTTTAATAACTAGATGTGGGAGTATGAGGCTTTGTATCTGTTAACACAAAGTGAATAACACAACAGGATTGGATCTGGAGGATGAAACAGGTAATGGTCCCAATATCTAGGCTGTGTTTGCTGCAAGGCTTCTTTGGGTTAGCTCTAGTCTGATCCTGTGGGCCTTAATGCCAGTTAGAGGCTGGAGCTCATTAGGTGCACTTCAGAAACGTATCTTCTCGTTTGTATCTGACATGAATTCGGATTGCTTTGAGACCTCCCTGAACCAAACTGCAGTGACAGGGGACAGTTTAGGGCTTCAAAATGGTACTCAGTGGTAATGTAGGTACACTTTAATATACCAAACCAGGTTTGAAGGTGCTGCTTCCTACTGCTCTGCTTTGTGGTAGGACATAACAAGAAGAAGAAATGGTCAGATAAATCAATTTACTATTTCTGTGGGAGACTCCTTTAAATTTTCAATAGCTGTGTGGCACATTTTTATTAATAGGTCCTAATCCTTCAGACATAACTGAGGAAGGCTGTTAAAGCATAGCAGTGATGTTTCCACAATCTCAACAGTAGTACTTTTTTCCTGTAGTTACCGGACAGTGGGTTTGACACCATTTATACACTTGTCATGCTGTCTCTTTTTGCCCAACTTTTCAGCTACTGTCCAGCCATTGTTGGAGGGATTTTAAATGCTGTGAGGGTGTTTATATTGGTAAGTTGTTGGTATGCTGTGAAAATGCCTAATTTAAGGTTTTGGTTTGGAGACCGCTACCCATCCTTTAGAGACAGAGCAGGGAGAGAGAGAGAAAGCAAACTGAGCCAGAGCACCTACTCCTTTGACTTTTTCTTCAGAGGGAGCCTGCTTCTCTCCACTGTCTGTGTAGGCGATCCCTGCATGTGGTCACCTAAGTCAGAGTGACTCTCTGAGAGACAGTCTTTGTTTTGAGCTTGTATAGTATCAACCACAATGCCAGTCTACTATAGCTTATCACTATGACAAAACAAATTAGTACTTGTAGCTCATGCTGCTCAAGAGCCTGGAAAGCTGCAAGTAGTTATAGGAGTAGTGGGAGCACAACAGGTCTTGTACAAAAGCTGAGCCTTGCTTGGCATTGTTCGCAGGAGTTTTTTGGCTCCAACCACCAGTCTTTTAGTCTGCGATTTGACTGTGCTGAAAAGCCACTGCAAAATCAGATGGGTGCAGCCATAACCCCTGGCCAAAATGTTTGTGTGTAATAATAATGAACCAGAAGTTCCAAGAGGGTGCGTGGTTCTAGTCACGAGTTATGTTGTTCAAATGTAAATATCCTCTACTTGAGGAAGATGTAGGATTATGATGCCTCCAGATTTGTCTATGAAACCGTATTTGAAGTTGCCTCTCAATTCCTCCATGCTTGGGAAGGCGCATCATATTGATAGTTTGGGAATTTTCCGTTAGTTTGTTTTCCCCTAAGTGCACAAGCCCTTGAGTTAATCTAGATGGAGCCAAAGAGTAAGCACAGTTAAAGCTCTTGCGGGAAAACTGCAGATACCTGTATCCTTATTTTGCCATTGCAGATTTGCGTTTGCCATCAAAGTGCATGTTGTGTTTCCTTGTCCACACAACTCCTCACATGTGCATGGAAGTTTGAAAAAAGTAGAATTGGTATATTTATTAAAACTAAGAAAAGTTAATGTGTTTCCCCTGACTTTCCATTTGGACTGACTTAGAAATTCTGGTTGTAAGGCAGTTAATAAGCTTTCCAAGTGATTATGTTTTATGTACACAACCATCCTTTGGTCTCTTGCCCTATTTAAAAATAAAGTATCTGATTCTGATTGCTAGAACCCCTCTGATTGCTGCGGGAGTTATTGGTGGCCTCTTCATCATCGTCATTGTGGGCCTGACATTTGCCGTGTACGTTCGGCGCAAAAGCATTAAAAAGAAGAGAGCATTACGAAGATTTCTGGAGACTGAGGTGAGAGTGTGCTGCTTCTCGCAGAATATTTGAAAAGATATGCAGAGCTGTTCTGCTTTTATATTAAAGATGTTCAGGTCTTCAATCCAGTTACCAGAGAGATCTGTAGAAATCCTTTTGCTACCTTCTGCAGGACTAAACTGATGGAAAGAATTAAGCTATTTCAAGATACTAATTTTCTGTACATACACAGATTCATGGCTTTTGAAGACCAAAAACCTCCACATAATCACAAAGTCATGTTCCATCAAGTTTTTGAACTCACGTACTGCTCTCAACTGAGTTTCCATTCCAGTTCATCAGTACATTTAGCAGCTCTCATGCTTGAATACTACAGTTTTTCATCCAGTGCATACTGAGGTGAACTTTTAAGACTGAAGCAAGTTCCTTCAGCAAGCTCTGATGCAAACTTAAGTTCATTAGGAATATTTAAGTTCAGAGATTGTCACTTAATATAGGCACTGGGAAGAACAGTGCCTTTGTAGTCCAGATTTTGTCAAAGCCTGTAGTCATGATCAGTAGTAATAATGTATTTTATTAAGCCGAGATGCTTCACAGAGCTTAATGAAATAAAGGTCATGGTTCTACTAGCAAAAATATGTAGTGGAGCTATAGGAAAGAGTGCTGTGCCCACTCCATCCTGCTCTTTGAAATGCCAGTAGTAGAAGGGGAAATCTAGGAAGTATATTTAAACATAACATTAAATCGTTATGTTGGCTACAGCAAAGGTGATTACTACCATTTCCTCAGTCCTATACTTGAGACACTTTGCATGTGACGATATTTTTAAATTAGGGTCCCCCTTTGTAAAATAATAAAGCTTGGGAATGCTGTTAGCGAGTGATTCTTTGATAAGGCTTTGTTAACAATACTGATTTCTGTTCTATTCTAAGGGTCATGCTCCCACTCATCTCCACTGTAGAGCCTGGGAGCAAATGATTTCTGCATCCCCAGTCTGTTTGCCTAAGTATCTTGAAGCTTGGCTAGAATTTGTGTTGCTAGTTAAATACTGTTCAGCTGTATAGAAAGCTTAACAATACTCAGTGCCTTTAGATATGTAAATTTTGCCATTGTATCAGCCCCTATTTAAGCATAAATTATATTAAGCAGGTAGTTTTCATTGCATTTGGGAAGTATTGGCTCTGAAGTCCAGCTCTAATTCTCCATTTGTTCAGATAAAAGCTGTGGCTGACACTAGTTCCTGAGGGACCAAGACCTCCTACTGAACATGTGGGGAAGCTGTTGTCTTGGCTTAGAAACTGAAGATTAAATGAGGAGCGTCCCAAGATAAACCCACAAGCAACTATAGCTTCAGCTAAAGTCTCAGTTTCTAGCTGGAGGCTGTAACAGACCTATTCTTCCTGTAGATCATTCTCCATAAAACTCTACAAGCACTTTTTTAGACCCCTACAATGCTTCTCCCTGCCATACCTGTGTTGGTGGACTATGGCACAGAAGCTGTTTTCACCCTTCACAAACTGAAAATGCAGAAGTATACCACCAGTCTGTCTACTTTTGTTTTATGGTGTAAGTACTGGACATCTAAAGTGGAAAGGTGGAAAGATAAATCACTCTTAAAAAAAGTACAGCTCACAGATTATTTCTGTGATAACCTGACTTGCTGTTGTTTGGATTTGTTAGGTTTCCTTACCCCAATAATTTCCAGATACCAGTATTTTTACCTGAACAAAACTAATTAAGTCTGGTCAACTAATAGAGTAGTCATGATGCTCAAAGAGCCATAGAAGTAGTTCTCAAACTGCAGAGCATGTTGCATTTAGCCTTGTAAATTGTGAAATGCTGTAGTGGGTTCAAACCAATTTGAGCAAGAGTAGCCCTGAACTATTTTATTCATCCTGTAAAGGAACAGACTGTTTTTCATTGTTTAGTGTATTGTCCTTTTCATGTGTTTTTAATTTATTTTTTAAGATACATTGTTTTTCTGGCAGAGACAGTAGAACGTTGAGATCTGAGAACATTTTAAACTGAATGAGCCATTGTGGTTCATTTACAAAGTTTCTTGGGACATCTTGAGCAAATTGCTTAATTATGCCTTTTCTGCAGTAAATTACTGGCTGATATAAATTAGTGGTCTGCTATAAGATGTTTTCTCCTTAAGGCTGTCCTCCTGTGTGGTATAACAGAAGTTCAGAAAAATAGTCCCTTCCCCAAAACAAAATAAGAATGTGATGAGCCATTAAGTAAGGGCTATTAAAAAGAAATATGGCCAACTTAAAAGACACTATAATGGGCAAAAATAGAATGTCTTGCACTGATAACAAATGCTGTATTTCTGCCATGTAGAAAATATTTATACTGCCTCCATTAGCAAGAGTCCTTGGGTATGTTATTGTGACACCAATTCAATTTCCAGTTTGTAATTCCATCATGCAGTTCCTGGCGGAAATTATTACATGTTGAGTGAGGATTTTCTTTATCAGGTTTCTTGGTTTCACAGCATTGTTTGTTTGCTTTTGAAGGTGAGAAATCTTTCCACGAGTTGGCAGGTTAGTGCTCAACAGACCCTGCCGCTGTCTTATTCCAGTATTTAGTTGGACTGATTGTTTTCAGTATAAATGTCTGACAGGTCTTCACATTTTCAAATATTTGACTGTTGGATTTTCCTTCATAGCTTGTGGAACCCTTGACTCCAAGTGGCACAGCACCCAACCAAGCACAGCTTCGTATCCTGAAGGAAACTGAGCTGAAACGAGTCAAGGTTCTTGGCTCTGGAGCTTTTGGAACCGTGTACAAGGTAAGTCTTTACTATACATTAGTGAGCTCCCTCAGTTAACTTTTGAACAGTCAAGTTCTGAAGCAAAGCACCCTGTATTATGGATGGGTTCGAGAGCCCTATATATCTGGGAAACTCAATATAGTGGAATTGTGTGGGAGGAGCACATCTTCAGGCTCAAATGCTGACTTGAGTTTTAATCAGACATGAAGATATTATTTCTTGGTGAGAAAAGAAGTGTCAGCCACAATCATTTTTGCATGCAAAAGGACTACACAGGCTGGGCTGTCTTGATATTAAAATGCAGTATGAAAGTTTGTCATTCTGTTCTTATATAATGGGTTTACAGTACACTTTTGGCAAGCTAGATAAACTTTGTCATTTTGCACGTGTCACCTGGGTCTTATAATAGTAACAATGCCTTGTAAAACAATATTGTCATTAGTTAAACCGTAATACTTTTTGTTTCTTCCATTTCAATAGAAAAGATTAGTCATGTCAATACACCCTTTAACAACCAGGATGTAAGAGCAAAACCCACAAAGGAAAAAATACTTCAGTTAAAGATGATTTTTTTTTTTTTAAGATATGTTGGTCATGTCCAAATCTTCATGTTGGGCATGAAGTAGGCCTTAATGGGCAAGTCAAACCAATCACCTGACCCTTTAGGAGCAACCCAAACCTGCCAAATCAAGGTGGTAGGTCACATAACTGGAAAAGGACAGATACTGCATCTGTCTTCAAACTGAGGAGGAAATGGAGGAAGTACGTACCCAGGTCACTACATCTACAAGATCATGGGAATACATTTTTGAATCATCAGTTTCAATATGCTTAGACAATAATAAAGCGATAGAGATAGGTACCATGAGTTTGACAAGAATATAGCAATAATCAAGAAGGATGGAAAAGTAGCCTGAGAGACACACAGTTTGTCAACTTTAATTTTAAAGTTTTCTTTTTAGCCATCTAAGCTTTTAATTCTCAGATATGAATTAATTGGAGAAATAACCCCTAAATGTTTCATTCTAAAGATATTGTTCTTGGGGTGTCCTGTTCCTGCATGATAGTATGACCTGGTGATAATGTTTCATGACAGCTTCAGTGAGTTTAGCTACAGAATCCAGACAGAAAATCCAGATTTTTGTGTAATTTTATCAGAATCAGTAGTCAGTGTAAAAAGTATGTGCATCATTGATGTGTTGATATTACTCTCTAGAAACCCTGTTTTGGACAGGAAAATCAAGGTGGCCTGATGAGGACGTTCACTGATACAAAATCTTTCATTTTACATAAGGGTTTACTTTTGGTGTAAGTAGTAGTTTTCTGGGATTTTTATTATTTTATAGCTGTGTATATTCTCAGTTCTGAGGTTTGTAACTGATCTGCATAATATGACAATGCATCAAAAAGAACTGTAGCTCTGAAGTTTTTAACATTGTTGTCACTGTCTTCTGTCACTTTTTCTTCTTTTTCTAGGGTATTTGGGTCCCTGAGGGAGAAACCGTAAAGATTCCTGTGGCCATTAAGATCCTTAATGAGACCACTGGTCCAAAAGCCAACGTGGAGTTTATGGATGTAAGAAATGATCAGTGTGTCTTTGAGTTTGGCAGGGCTGGGGGTTGAATGGGACGGGTGGCTTTCTGTAGTCCACATTGTAAAGAGGTGTTTCTGCCAGTTTTCTTACCTTATATTTAAATAGTAGAAGAAGGCTTGTACACAGAACCAACAGTTCTTATGTTCAGCGAGAGCTACAATATGTTCCTAGAAAAGCTCAGCTGCTGAAATTTTGTTTGTAGGCCATTTCTCTCCTTCCCTCAGTCTTGGACAAGCTGTCTCATTATTAATGTATATCCATTCTGTTCTCTATTGCAACAATGTCCAAACAAACAAAACCAGCCAACCAAGGTTACACCTTGGCTGTGGGTAGGTCAGTGCTGCCTCTCTGAAGCTGTAGAACTAGGCAGATTTGTGTGAGGCAGTGCTCTGACCTGTTTAGTTTATTGCCTGTAGATCATTCTATCCCAGAACTGTAAGTACCTGGGCTACCAGGCTAATGCCAGTGCCATTGTATTGAAGGGCTGGGTTCTTCAGTGTGCAGATGTCATGGACCCAAAGATGCTTGGAGTTTTCTTATTAATGGTCTTTCCATCAGTGAAAGGCTGTGAGATAAAATAAAGAGGAGTTTTTCCACAGCAGAGAAGCTAGAGACGAGGGAGAGGAGTTGCAGGGGAGCATCTTGTCATGTATGCGTCTCTGCTGGTGCAGAGCTCACCAGCATAGAAATTTAGCTTCAGCTTGCTTCTGCTTCAGTGGTCCTGAGAACTAAGCACTGAGAGTCTGGGAACTTCAGCAGCAGCAAAAGTGTAACAGGGAGGGGGGAAAAAGAAACTAAAATATGCCAGATTTTAGAAGCCTTTTTGCTTTACTAATCTGAAATATTGTTAATAAGAGATCAAGATGATAATTTTCATTAATGTTCTATGTTCATGGAGACTGTGCACTCAATTTTTACCTCTGTGTCAAGCCTCTTAGACACTGTGAGTGTGTATGTCCCATTCAGTGACAATTTTTTGACAGATCATAGAAATTGGAACTTTTTTTGTAAATCACTCTTATGAACTTGAAAATTACATAGGGCTCTTAAGTCTTGAAGATCTGTTCACTGTACAGGCTTAATTTGGTAAGCATTAGTAAGACTGTAAACCACAAGGAGAATGTACTCCCATTAAATCTTTTATCTAGCAATGAATAGAAATGTACAGTTATGGATTTAGTTAGTTCAGAAAGATTATCATGTGTGAGGTTTTAGGCGATTGAACGAAGGCTGTATAGATGAAGGAATTCCCTATGCTTTTTACAGAGCACTGTACATTTTATGTTGATGACATTCAATAATCATTGTGCACAAATAAAAAACAAAGGGCATTTTGGCCCTGTTCAAAAGGAATTAACTGCACTAAAGGGATGAAGAGAATAAGATGTTTGCTTAATGGACAAAGTAATGGTCAAGTGTATTTTTAATGGTAGAGCTCCAGAAGGAGGGGAGAGCTGGTATTCAGCACCCTTTAGAAGAGAACGTGCAGGGAGCGCAAGGGCGTTGAATGTGACCTGTGCTCCATGGCTGATGCTGGCAGTCAGTGATGTAGCTTCCAGCCTCAGGATGAGGGAGTTGTTACCACAATATGAAAGTCAGTGGAACTAGGCAGCTTGCACCAGCCAAGGATTTGACCCGTGATGTGATAGAGAAATAATGGTAATATCTCCTTCTCTGATACTGATTAACCTTGAAGCACTCTACAAAGAAAACATAAGGTCCTTGTTAAAAGACAAAGTTACTTGTCTGAGATTTCATAGCTCAGCTTGATCAGATGACAATTCACTGGATCACATTTCCCTACAGTGTATGCATCGTAACATCTGATAAACGGCTCAGAAATTATGGAGGTTTTGTGGAAACTCTAGTGATTTTAACTATGTAAGGTACAGCCACACTAGGAAAGGTTTCTCTTTAAATTAGCAGTTTCGCTAATTTAGCGAATAAGTCTCTGACCCAGTGCTAACAAGGTGAGAGAAAAGTTAAAGTTATTTTTAGTGCTAGAGGTTAGTAATAACCTAAAGGTTATTCTTAATCATAACAAAAAAAATATTGGAGTTCATCATTGGTTGATTTAAGTGACAATAAGGAGAAATAAGATTTTTGTACCAGTGCTGCTTTTGATATATGTACAGTGGTCTGTAACATCCTTTGCTGTACTGCATTGATGAAGATGATTTAATTTCATTCTTCTGAAATAATTATTCATGGCAATTGTACAGACATTCCTGCCGCCTTCACCTGCTAACCCAGTCATTAATATTCTGAAACAAGCCACATTTTTAAAGAGGATGACCTAGGCATTGTTTATGATTTTAAATTGACTGCTCTTCTCCCAGAAAGGACAGAGTTTTAAACTTTTTTAAAATTTTAAGCTATTATGAGGAGATGATTTAAGTATCTTTCACTGAAGAGTAACTTACAGTAGAAAAACATGTTTTACTCATTCTCGCCCCAAGGCTTTGGTTAGTATAACTATCCTGATAAAACTTGGTATTGTGTACTGGTGTTAGTTTCTGAGGAAAATTTAAGTGTACATATGCAAGCAAAATGCATCAGTTGTGATTTCAATGATGAGAGTATTACGAATAGTTGTTGATTAAAAGCAGTTGTGTCAGATTTTGTAAAGGTATGTAAGTGGCTAAGTGCCATCATGAACGTAGTGAGGGTTAACTCAAATAAGTGTCTGACATGTCGGTTATGAATGGGAAGAGGAGGTTAGTGGGAAGGAGGTGTCACTATATGAGTCGCACCCTTGACTAATTTTTTTGTACTTGTCAAGTACAGGTGTGCTTTTGTCAGCAATTACTTCTTACTCAATTTTGTATGTCCTTGTACTTGAAAGTAAAACTTAGCATTCCCTTTTATAGAGGCTCTAGAGAATGTAAAGCCAATCTTGTAAACAGCAGTTTGTGTACAGAGAGAGTACTTGGGACACTTCAGTGTCTACAGAAATAGCAAGTACAGATGTTAGGGGCATTGTCCATAGGCTCTGGTCAAAACTTCTAATGTTGGCAGAATGTAAGTCTAAAAGTGCTCTGTGAGCTCCTGAAATTCTGCTAAATGTTATGCTAAAAGAGTAAAGAACAACAATTTGGCTACTGGGCTGTAATTTCAGCACCTTGAACACCCACTAATGGATCTGTAATGACTATAATGAAATAATGCATGATGTTAGCACCTGCTATGGCCAAACACCTCTCACCCTCCTCCCATCAGGGTACAATGAATTGGCCATCTTCAAAAAGTACATCCCCTATTTAGAATTCTTCTTTAGGGAGTCGCAGCAGAGTATTTTCTGGACTTTCTGCACACATTCCCAGCTAGCTCTTTTTCTTTTACCCTGCTCTTTGCTGTCTTACATAGTTTTTATCACTGCAGTAGTCTGTGTCTGTTACAACAGTGCAAGCTGAAGTCTGCTAAGTAACCCATACCACCTTCTCCAGGGCAGAAACAGAATGTACATGTGGACTTGTATGGATTTGCTTTCACCCTGCAGAAGTTGTTGCTACTGTTTTGTAAAATGTAGGTTTACTTTTTTCCCACCTATTTCTGAATATGTATTATATCTGGAATAATTTCACAGTCTAAAGGATTTCCCCTCAGGTGTTGAAACAGTTAGGTGCTTAAATTGTGGGGCATAGTCTCTCCTCCCTGCTTGGCTGGTCACACTTCATTGTCCCCCAAAGGGCGCTGGAATTTGAATTCAGAGTGCAGGCATTCTTGCTCCTGGTCTGCCTGCAAGCATGTCTGAGAGAGCAGTGACCAGTGGACGCAGCAGGTATCAGGAGGGATGGATATCCTGCTCCTTACCCTAAGGCTGGTAACAGAATATACGAGGGTCCTGAGTTGTAAGGAGGGAAAAGAGGCTTGTTGTGAGGAAAAAAGGCAAATATGCAGCTGAGAGGCTACTTGATAGTAGAACAAGGACTTATAATTTCACTTGTAAAAACAATTTCCCCTCCTCAGCCTCAAATTATTTGACTGTTATGATTGTCTGATAAGTCAAGTAGCCATTGGCCTGATCAGATGGTTTAACATCAAACCAGATGCTTGACCGATAATGTAATATATTCGAAAGTCACAGTGCAGTTGGAAAGCATAAGCAAACCATCTTTAAGGCTAAAAAAAATATTATTTAAAGTAACGTGTCCTGGGCAAACAGACAATTGATGAGGGCCCTTCCTCTCTAGCCCTCTAAGCTTGGTGTTTCCAGGAAGTAATCCTGTGAGCTGTGATTCTGTCCAGGGTTTTGATCCACTTACAAGTTTAATCTATCCTCTCTGAACTTAAATGCTCCATTATCTGTTAGAAAATAATTAGAGGCTGCAAGCACAAGTCCGCATACACAGAGTTCCTTGGGAGTCCCTGAGCTCATTGAGATGAAGACAGTTTGACTGATGGTGGTCAGCTGATATTGGGCCAGAAGCTAATAATAGAAGGCAGTGCTGCTTAGCTAGGTGAGAAAGTTAACTTGGGAAAAATTAAACTGAAGGGTTTGGGATTTATGGTTGGAAATAAATTTCCCATTCTCATTTGTTTCCTGGTAAGAGAGCTTCAGAGGCAGTTGGTTTCTTTTATGGTTTTATAATTAAGATCTAGGGGGCCTCTTGACTTCGCCTGGACTTACTGTAGTTCCCTGCTGTCTCTAGGAGCAGTGTCAGTGTGCAGGAGAGCATTTGTCAAGTGAAGTGTAAAAGTAATAAGTGACGATGACCTCCATCAGGCATGCAGCAAACAAATTAAAGCTGCATATAGGGGGCTGATACCCACATCCTTTATCTATGTCTGGCCTAATTAACTAAATTAATAAACCAGTCAGTTGTCTTGTACTGCAAAAGGAGAAATGGCTTTTCCTTAATTGTAAGCTTGTCTTGTGATAAAGACAAGTCCTCAAGACGTATTGAACTTACCTTTGGTTCAGAGGTTTCAAGAGGAAAAAATCGTGTAGCTGACTAGCAAAAGAGAATTTTATCTTCTG